ATATTGCTACAATTATTTTCTATAAAATTAACTAATTAATTAAAACTTTTAAATTGTCAAATCCGTATCAATCAAATGATGCAACTCATTCGAGCAAAATAATTGAGGAGATCTAGCTATGAAAATTCCAGAATACAAGTGAACTAGCTTCATGTTCATGTTAGTTATCTTTTCCCCTATTAAGAAAAAATAGTGATACACATAATGAGAAAATTTCAACGAAATAGAAATGACGAGTCCGGATTTAAACTATCTGCCTAATTTTAAAAGAATAAATAAATTATAAGAATGAGGTAATTGGTTGTGGTTTAATCTACATATAACAAAATTTCTTTATTTATCATTGTTACAAAAAAATTTTGCGGATTCACCGACCCTTTTCCCCCCTCCGTTTTACATACTTACGTATATGCTTATTGGGTACGTGCTATATTTTGTTTTACAACACAAGTTAAGGACTGTGTGATTGTGTCGTGTGCAATATGTAACCATAAAAAAAAAAAAAAAAAAATCGTTTCAAACATAAAGATAACCGGAAATTCCTTTTATGATATGGCAAATGATAGGTTTCACTATGATTAATATGATGGTACTTAGGGTTTGTGCCATGTGCTCACTGTTTTGATTAATATTAAAACTAAAATTTGACGTGTGTATATATATATATATATATATATATATATATATATATATATATATATATATATATACACTTTCAGTTCCGAAATAATGATAATCACTGGATATTTATTTTAGATTGGAGAGCATAATAGATATGATTAGTTACCTAATTACCACTCATGCATGATGCATTATTAGACACTTTTCTCACCCTTTAAAAGAATTTCAATTTGACATAAACACGACAGCGATTGCGAGCTGCAAGCTTGTTCAAGCTACGAAGTCAAAAACTGAACCTCCACTTGTAACTTGATTATCAATCAATCAATCGAAAGTAAGAGAATAAAAAGATCGATCGACATGTAATATTAATAATAAATAAATAGGCAGTTAACTTATGTTTTCAACGTATGCAGGGTGGAGCATTAAACCGATATAGATATGCTGGTCTAATTAAGTTGTTATATATAGTACTGTTGTTTAAAGTCCACATGCAAAGGATATTAAAGTTTAATGTCAAAAGGGCGAAACGTCATTATCATCGAAAAGCCTGTTCATTAGGTGGAATCCTACCATTAGAAAAAAGGGGTGGCCGATGATGTTTATGTAAATTATCAATTATGCATGGATGTTAGACCAAATCTGTGCAAATAAAAATCAGTCATGAATAATTGTGTTGGAATCTTACACATGAACTGCTGACCATTACTTACTTAATCTGTTCAAGTTTATTAGGTCCAGAGAGATTGATATTAAGTGTCATTTCGTAAGGTCTATAATCAATTTTATTCCCTTATTCCTTGTGAAATTAAAGTTTTTTTTTTCCCCTTCTAATGCATTAGTTAGGTCCAACAGGTGATATTAAACTCTAAATCCAAATTAATTTAATTAGCTAAGCATTTCGTCCAAAATGATTGACTTGTTTGGTGAACTCAAAATATAACAATACAAAGAATAATTATTTTGAGACAAAGAAAGTATAGTAATATATTACTTTGTTTGATTTATTTATAAGATAATAAAGATTAAAACTTAATTTAATTACACTTTATATACCCTTATAAATGAAACCGGATGAATTATTACTAGCCTTTATATTCAAAATTGACCAACTGCAGCAGCGACCCGCTCTAGAAACATAATAATTCAAAAATCACATCTGAAATGTCAAATTGAATTTTAGCATATATATGTGCTTATTGGTCAATGAAAAATCTAGGTATGTTCATTTAACGTCAAGACTCGAGACATCTATAGTACTTAATTAAAGCAGTAAATAAAAAAAACATGTGTCATCATCACAATGAAAATTTTCCCGCCAAAAGTCATTTTCAGTACAAAATCATTTTTGACATGTGGACTTCTAACTAACCAGAAAAAAAGGATGAAATAAATAAATAAATAAATTCTTTAATTATAACTACATAAAAATTCATTAATTATAGGTATATAGTAATCTCTTAAAACAATAATATTGAGTTAATAAAATCAAATGTCAGAAAATTTCCTTAAATCAAGTGAAACAGCACTGCCACCCAATCTAAAATGATCTTTTCCATTTCGCTCCTCTTTTAGACTGGGGCCTTCAAATCAACTACTTAAAATCTGACGTCATTTATCAATTAATCTTTTTCTACAATAGAGGAAAAAGAATCGGTCATGGAAGGAAATTTAATTTTTTAAGGATGATTTGTTTTTTTATTTTTTTGTTGTAGATATTAGTTTATGAGTTGTGTAAATTCGGGTATAAGTTAATTGTTGTAAATTAACTGTAATAAACCCCGGCATAGATTTATGTGTAGTAACTCAATTCCTGTCCTTTTAATCGATTTTTTGTTTTTCTGTTTTTTATTCTTTTAAAGATAATTTATTTTTTTATTTAATCGATTTAAAAGTAAAGGCGGTACCCTGGGCATTCGCTCGGGACAAGTATCTAGTTATTTTTGAAGAAAGAAGTCAAATGTTAATAAATTTTAAAAAACTGTAAAACTTACATTACGACGGAGTTTTCTTTTTCCTTTCTAATAATACCATTAATAGACAAACTTCATGAATGGAACCTGTCCCAATTCTAGGCAGCATCGATTACTCATCCTTATTGGACTTTATGCACATGACAAATTTGTTCCACAATATTGAAACGTGGAGGTGACAATTTTCACAGGTCACAACTCACAAGGCTCAAAGGGTAACCACGTTTTTATGTATTTCGCGACAAAATTGTGGCCATTGAATGACCATCCAAAATACGTTGGGGGCTGGCCGAAGCAAAATCACAGGTAGCATAAGATTACATGAAGGTTCCTACTGTTTAAAATTGTACTATATAAAAAATATGTTCCTTCGTCCATGGGGGAAAAAAAAGGAGTAGGGGTGAACGTTACAATTTTGAGATTTTTTTTATAAAATTCATGTGTAAAATTACATTTAGGGTGGATGTTTGGCTCGTCATCATGAAACTAAATTTATAAGAGTATAATGAGATCAGGGAAAGGAATGGAACCATGGTTTGTTTAATTTTGTTTGGTTAAAGACATGAAATGATACAATTTATGACTTTTACTGTTTTGTCAATCTGATACTACTTGGGTTATAAAACTTTGTCCGAGTAATTTTTCCGTTTTTACCGATTGGTCATAAACTTACTTCTTTAAATGAGTTTCTGTTCGAGAGGCTTTCTTTTGCAAGAAATCTTAGCCGGAGTTCCACTACCAAGTCGACAGTGTAAAATCAAGTTTCATCAAATGTCTGCATCTGCGTTAGCTCCACTAGATTATGGACAATTAATTATAAGGTATGTAACTACTGAAAATGGTTGAATTTGTTATTTAAAATAGAAAAAACAAATGATAAAACTAGTTACATAGTTTTGGTGAGTGGGAAAAAGTCACAGAAGATCCAAATTCGAAATAGTTGGACACATTACGTATGTGTTAATGTTGTACGGTGAACAAAGTAATCTTAAACGTTGTTTTATGTAAAAAAAGAATAAACTCGAAAATATGGGACTCAAGAAAATTGAAAAAGCATTTTTTAGAAATGGAAACCTTATAATATGTAACACATTTATGTGGATATGAAGAACAATTAACTTTACCTTCCTTTGCAATAAATCAAGAGAAAAATTTCGATGATGAATCTTCCCACATAACGTACTTATGTTGAGAGACGTTTAGTAGCAGATGATCGAAATGAGCTGGATTTTCTATCGGCTTTAACTCCAGAAGAGTGCAAGAGGCGGGAGGAGATTAAAAGAGGAAAAGCAGTCATGGTTGAAGATGGGGATTCGGATGGCGGGAAATGGAAACACAATCTGGCTAGAATTCACTCCCGGGAGAAGGAATAGTAGACGCAATAGGCCTCTGATCATCAGGCGGTCACCAAGCCTTTCTCCCTCGCCGACGAATTTGTCAATTGACCAATCCCGAAAGAGAGACAGAGATCTGGATTTCAAGAAAGATGTTCTTGAGGAGGAACTGGAGAGTCCACAGCCCAAGAAACCGAATAATAGAAAGGCTTGATCGAGCTTTTGCTACAACGGCTTGGTCAAACATGTTCCCTCATGCTAAAGTCCTTAATATGCCTATCACAGTCTCGAATCATGGACCTTTTCTTCTAACAACAAGGACACAAACACAACGCATGAAAGGAAGGCATAAATTTGAAGCCTTCTGGGCAAGAATTCCAGCACCCAAAGAAATAGTTAAACAAACTTGGCAATCATCGAGTTCGGCCCTGGAACTAGGCGATAGTACCAGCCCAGACCTGTTGTCCCAGAAGTTAAATACAAGCCTGAACTCCTTAACAGGCCGGAGTAAACAGACTTTCGGCGGTCTATATCCAAAAAATGAAAAGGGTGGAACGGTATTTTTTCGACAGTCTATATTTTTTACTATGCGGTCTATATCCAAATGAGAAGGGCAAAATCATCTTTTTTACGATAATCTTTATCTTTTTCCTAGCGGCCTTTAACACGCCTCTAGATTTATTGTTCTCGACAAGAAGGCCGATCAACCCAGTCTGAAATTTTTTTTTTTTAACTACAACAACTTTTCCGCTAGGGTTTGATTTCGGTTTCAATATGTATTTTGGATTGGCATCGGCAGTGCTGCCTATAAGGCCCTATGTGGGAGGGATTGAGTGGAATAACTGAAATGTTATTTAATTAAGGTCAAGTTTCACTTCAACATAATATATTACAACATTTCATGACAATTTATGAAACTATAACAACTTTCAGAGTAGTCTCTACTCTTCACAAAGAAACACAATTTGGAATCTGATACTTATAGTGCCCTGTTTAACCCTAACAAGGCCATTTTTCCCTTTCAATTCTGACAATCCAAAACAAGGAAGAAACTGGCCTGGTTGCCCTGTATTCAGAGCCATGGTGAATTATACAGTGGCGTAACAACTGCCTTGACTTGAAGATATTGATCCAGGGCTTTCATCCCAAGATCCCTACCAAATCCGCTCATTTTGTACCCTCCATAAGGACAATCCCTGTCAAACACAGCATAACAATTAATCCAAATACTACCAGCCCGAATTGATCTCGAGACTGTGTTGGCAATGTTCAAGTCCTTGGTTAAAATGCCTGCAGCCAATCCATAGGTCGTCGCATTTGCTCTCTTAATTGCCTCCTCAATTGTCCTGTACACATGCTTCAATGATTAAAACCAGAAAGACCAAAATTGTTTATCATCAATTTACCAATGATTTCACATTTTTCACTCACTTGAATTTCATAAGTGAAATAACAGGCCCGAATATTTCTTCTTTCGCTATGCGCATATGGTCCTGAAAGAATCAGAAAGTTCTAAAACACGAAGCAATAACAAGAACTGAAAGAGCGAAGCAAAACCCGAATCGCGATAGGCCCGGCGGTATTAGTTTTACCTGAACATCTGTGAAGATTGTTGGTTCAATGTAAAATCCCCTTTCACTGCATCGTTTCCCACCCGTAAGTAATGTAGCACCTTCAGCCTTACCAAGTTCAATGTAAGATAGTATCTTATCAAACTGCACCTGGTTAACCTTCAAAAAAGAACCAGTATTCAGTTTTATTGCTCGGGGAATACAATTTGGTTTTGATCTGAATAAGCGCTCTTTTTTAGACTAATAATATGTCAAATACTCCTAAATTACTGAATCAGAGATCCTGTAAACTGGTGAATCACAACTAGAAACAAGTGTTGCATGTTTCACAAAATTGGCAGACAGTATTTTGCAGTTCGAATTATGTCGGGTTGTTTAATCTGCAAATTATCTTGAGAATCAAAGAATTATCTAAAAGTTTTTAAGTGCTGAAGAAATTTACTTGAGGACCCTGTTGAGTACGAGGATCAAAAGGATCGCCCACTACCCATTTTTGCGCCTTCTCCACTAACTTCTTGGAGAGTTCTTCATAAATCCCTTCCTGAATCAAAATGCGGGAGCTCGATACGCATAGTTCACCCTGAAATCAATTTTTTAAAACTTACGTAAGAATGTATTCCATGTAACAATTCATTTGAATTTAGCAAGTCCTTTGTTCAAATTTCTACCTTGTTCCATAGACTGCCCAGAAGAACAATGGTGGCAGCTGTTTCAACATCTGCATCATCACAAACTATCAAAGGATTCTTGCCTCCTAATTCAAGTGAGACTGGTTTCAAGTTGCTTTTAGCTGCAGCTACCATTACTAAACGTCCTACTTTTGTGGAACCTGTAAAAGTTACCTAAAAACAATACCCGCCAAAAAAAATGATGAATGAAACTCAAAACAAACTGATAAAAGTAAAACAACTCAGTGTTACTTTGTCAATGTCCATATGTGATGAAATAGCAGCACCAGCTGTGTGTCCATATCCTGGCACAACATTGAACACTCCATCAGGAAAGCCAGCCTGCAAATCCAAAACATGAAAGTTTAACAGAAGAATGATCCAACTTCCCAAATCAAACAAATCACAGAAGAAAAAGGGTAATAAAAAATCTTACTTCCTTGACCAAATGGGCACAGAAAAGTGCTGAAAGGGAAGTCTCTTCAGATGGCTTTACTACAACAGTGCACCCTGCAGCTAATGCCGGCGCAAATTTAATGAACATCAGATTACAGGGGTAATTCCAGGGGATGATAACTCCAACAACTCCGATCGGCTCACACAACGTGTAGCCTTGAAGATCCCGGCTCATCTTCAGAGTTTCTCCATGGATTTTATCAGCCGCCCCGGCATAGTACCTCAGAGTCTCAGCTGCTGCTGGAATGTCCATGTTTTTCAGCAAACTATACAACTTCCCTGCCTCCAGTGCTTCCAGGGCTGCTATTTCTTCTACATTTTGTTCGATTAAGTCCGCCAGTTTCATCATCAACCTTCTCCTTCCCTAGTAATTAACATCATGAATCAAGACTCATTTGAAAAGGCCAATTGCAGAGAGGAGGGTTCTAAACTGATTTTGTAACTGAAACGAAGTGAACTCACTTGGCCAGGGAGACGAGGCCACGGACCGTTATCAAAAGCCTCCCGGGCAGCCTTCACAGCTAAATCAACATCTTCTGTATCTCCTTCTGCAATTCTGGCTATTGGATCCCCTGTTCTAGGATCAATTGTCTCGAATGTTTTTCCTACATATTACGGTCACAATAATCCTAGATTACAGCCAAATGAAGTAACTTGTTGTACTATCTTCTTCATGATTGTTATAAAAAAATGAATCTTTCCTTTCAACTCCAAGGCAAGAGAAAACTACTAAAGCGAAAACACCATGGACAATCACTAATGATGATGAAGTAAAGAAAAAAAAGATAACCTGAAACAGAGTCAACAAAATTCCCATTGATGAAGAGCTTGGTGAACTTTACGTCCGGAATCATGACAGAAAACTCTGTTTTTTTCCCGTTGCTTTCGATCGCCATTGATGTAAAAAAGAACAGAAGAGTGAAGTGATCTTAGAGTAGTAGGTTGGTGAAGTTTGAATTTATCTTTTTTGAGAATAACGTTTTAAAATTTTATTTCACTGTCATACAAAAAATATAAGCCTTTGTACAATATTACACACAAACAAACACATGGATGATTGATTGATGCCAGACGATGATCTCACTAGGAAAGATGCTAATTTTTGTCATGATTTCCTTGGGTTTATTAATTACTTTATAGTGGGATGGATGAACTTTTGAAATTGCTGTCAACGTTATTGCAACACAAACGAACTCCGACAATACGACTTGTATTTTGGGTTTCTCTTCATGACCTTTGTGTGTGTTTTTTATGCTCCTTAACACCGGGCCGAGTTGAGGACTGGATTTCCCGCATGAATCGTAAGCTCAACCCCAAACTTTATTTCGAAACATCTATTTCACAATGTTTCAATACAATTTTATATAAAAAGTTCTTTAAGTCTTATTCAAATCCAAAGAAAGTAAGAATAACAGAAAGACCAAGAAATAACCCTTTATTTCCCTCTTTTAGTTAGAATGACTAACTGGGTTTTTGGCTCATTTTTTGAGAGACAAGCTGATTACAGGTTGATATATGAATTGGTCAATCATCAATGTCCAATATTTTGTTACAAAAAAAGTTTAAGTTCGTAATGTACTTCACAGCTCACATGGGTAAGACTCCCACCATAAAACGTTAGGGTGACGGCCTAACAATGAAAGGGTTATTCTAGAGATACTCAAAACGGTTTGAGTACCTAATTAGGATAAGATAGATGACGGAGAGAAGGTTTGAATTTCAAAACATCACACATTTGGACTGGAACGGAGGTATAATTTCAGACAAATTCATAATCGCTTATCTAAACTCCAAAGGACCACAAGACGAGAAATTATTCAGTGTAACTGTTGTATTGTAAAACTAGACACAATAATAGGGGTAAAGTAGTAATTTTGGGGGAGAGATAATTTATACGGGAGTTATATCACTAAAATAGGAAGGTGCTAGTACTTGCTACACTAAAAATCATGATACAGCAACTGTACCCAATAATTTTTCCCACAAGTAAATGATGCAACGTAAAACATCATAATTTCTGTTGGGACAAAAAGATAAAAAGCTACAAAACTTTTCTGTCACACTTATCACTTCCTAAAATTTGAAAATTGCGTTACCATAATCTAGTATTTGGGATCTTCTCCCACCATTTTGTAAAGAATTGTTGGAGTTTTAGGATTTTGAACCTCTCATATTACTTTAATAACTTCAACATTGTCTAGGTAAAAACACATCTAAATTCATGCTTACGACTTTTATCTATGTTCTACTTGTGTATACTGTCTTTAGCAATCAACTTTGTAACTTGGTAAAAAAAACTTTTGATATGGCATGTGCTGAAAAAGACGCACTAGCTAATGTGTTTGGTATTCTAGGGAAGTAAACATGATGAGTGATACATTATTTTGTACTTTGAGGAGATGGACTTGATGATTGAATTAGTTGGGTTTAATTATTTATAAAAAATACAGTGACACTGCTATATCAACAGGTGGACGTGCCGGAGTGGTTATCGGGCATGACTAGAAATCATGTGGGCTCTGCCCGCGCAGGTTCGAATCCTGCCGTCCACGCTTTTCTGAAACTTTTTCTATCTATGTTGCATTTCTCTGCTTTTTTTTCTTTTTTGGATTGTAATGAGAAGAGGGCATGCTGAAACTGCCGTATGTTGGCTCTCTATAATTTTGTCGTTTTTTGAGATCGCAGCAAATTCTAAGAGATGTAACTTATTTTAAAGCATATTCAAAGTTGTTAATAGACGAACAATACACCTACCCTGGTTCATCTTCAAATTCACACTGTATCAGAGAATAGAGATGGTACCAAAAAATTAAAATCTTGTGAACATCAAAATTTATACAACCGATTTCCTGGCTGAATTAAGGGAATCGAAGGAGGAAACTGAAAAATAGAAACACCGTCGAAAAACCTAATAGGTTTCTACTACTGTAATTGACCATGTTCTGCACATATGTACCAAAATCAAGTGGTACATTACATATGCCCAAACCTTTTATACATCAGGAAAGTAGCTTGGAGGGATCAGCATATCTGGCAGTAAAAGATCGAGGCAGGAAATCATTGAGATATTCATCAATCGTCTGCCCTGATTGACCTTCATCAAAATTCTGCATATATGTTTCTGAATTATAAGCCGCCTTTCCTTGCATCGCGGGCTCGAAACCTTTCTTCCTCTGCTTCAGCAGGTTCTTCCATATGACTTTCCACTTCGGCATTTTTGAAGAGGATCTAGTCCCACCATTATTACCACCATTCTCTGCAGGGTAGTACTTGAACACGGGATCTTCCTCGCCCGTCTTTTGGTCGCAAAATCGCCCCAAATGGATCGTCCTTCGTCCCGACTTTCGCCATATTCCAGTTTCCATTCCGCTCCTAAGTCCTAGCTTGCTTGAGCAATTTGGCTGATGTTTTCCTCAGATAGAATGTGGCAGGGAATTATAGTTAGGACTAAAGGAGTATGAAATGACGCACGTTTGGGCAAAATATTCGACGATTTAGTGGTTTATTAGGTGGTGTTTGATGACTGGGTGGCAGCAGCCAAGTAGGAATGGCAACCATATTATAAGCAATAAATGAATACTAATGTCAATTCAATGAGTGAAAAAAGAAGTGAGATTTTTTTTGTTGAATCTTCAAACTACTAGAAGGGGCGACAAGGATAGTATTGTGAAAGGTCTTTAACTTTCTTCCTTGTTCAAGTAGGATAAGTATCTAGCCAATTGGGCAATTTGGTTTGTAAGCTTTTCTTACCCAGAGTTCGCTGGAAAGACGTGCTTCACCAAACCGATTGAGACTTGTAGCTGGAGCAATAAATGTTGAATTATCTGTGCTGACTCAATGTAATTTTTTGGTGCAGTACATGATTACCGTATTTTGTTTGTCAAAATGATGTGATGTGATTGATTTTGTTTCTTTGAGAAAGCAAACAATTCTTGAACATGTTTCCCCAAGTGTAAAATGTTTTATGTTGGACTTTTTTTATTTTTCAATCCCATTTTAAATAGGAATTGGCCCCCATTAGCCATTGTAAAGCCGTAGAGGTTCTGAATACTTTGTTGCCAGAAGGTAAGCGGGAAATATCAGATATAAAGATACAATTAGTTGACGTTGAGACCAGTCAGTCATAAAGAACCCGGGACAAAAATGGTGGCCAGAACAAAAGGATGTTGAAGCTGATTTGCGATTCAACTAGAGGCAGGATTCATGGCACAATGAAGTTTCTTAGCCTGATTACTATAGGAGAAGGCTTGATGAGTTTCAACTGAAGTAGGAAATAGAGTTCCAGCATCATGGGATGATTCTCTTAAGCCTTAATTCAGCAATAATGAGCTGAGCTGAGCTGAGCAGAGCAGCATTATTTCTGACATTGGATTTATCGCGAAATCAGTAGAAAAAGGCTTCGAGGAGAAAAACTCAACTATGATTCAGAAGATCAGGTATACTGTACTCTGAGACCAGTATAATTGAAGGAAATCCAGTTACACCTTATAAGTTCCCGTAGCTTTTTTCCTAAATCAATCTTAGCAAACTGCAATGAATTGGTGTTTCCAATTGAGGAAAGCAACTGAGTTATTACATGCGTTACTGTCATAGACTCATAATTCAGTACTCTTTCATGGAGTCATGTGGTCTTTCGTATTTGGTGTTTGTTGTTAAATTGTGTTTGTTTGAACTTACAGGAGTAAAGCCATTAGTGTAACATTAAGAGCAAGTCTAAACTTTGATCAAAAGTCCAGCAAGAGCAACTACCAAAGCCTTTTCCAAAGATTGCATTTTTTTTTTTTTTGGTACAAGAGACAAATGCATAGAGTTCTAATTTATTAGAGCTCGTCGGTAAGAAAACTCAACGATGTCATATTGAAGCCACATTTGGACAGTATCGGGAGGTACATCTAGCCATTGTAAACCACCGGTACTCTCCATTGCTAACACCACTAGGGAATCAGCGGCAAAATTCAGCTCTCGGTAAACATGATGTACCTTCACCACCCAATCTGTGCTCAAAAGATCACGAACAGCCATTACCAAAGCTTTATTCCTCCCACGCACCTCCATATCACCGGTCACCATATTTTGAGAGGACCAGATTGCATCTTTGATAATTCCTTAGAACACCATATGGCTTTTAACCCACCGATGAGTATAATTAATTATCGTGTATAACCAGATTATCATACCCAGTATTTATAAAAAAAAAAAAAAAAAAACCTTATTTTCATTGTGCAGTATAAAGACACCAGATAAGTATATAATCACTAATTCATGAGAAACTCTTCCCTTTAATCAATCATCATGCCTCTGAATCATCATCATCATCAACTTCTATACAGTGGTACGAAAAATAACCAAAAAAGAAAAATAATGGGATGTTTCTCCTTCCCAAACAATATGGAGAGAATACATAAAAAGAATTTTAATCAATACTACTAATAATAAGATCTAATTAGTCCCGCCGGGAGTTAAATCGCTCTGAATTAGTGAACCAAGTATGTAATAGCCAGGGCCACCAGCAAAAGAACATAAGCAATCCCTTGGTCAATTGCTGTGCCTGCATCGGATTTCACAACAAAAACATCATCAGTTTCAGACCACCCACAACCAATCAAAACATAAAAATCTTCAAATTTGAACTGTTAACATAATTCATTCGTTTGAAGAAGAAGAAGAAGGAGGCAAAACTTACCGTCATTAGAAGGAGGACCAATCGGAGAAGGAGCCGGAGCCATGGTGGCTTGTCCGCGGCAAAACTCAACAAGGGCCAAGAAGATTATACTCAGAATAGGAAGAGTCGCGAATCTTACAGCATTCATCTTCTTCAAGAAAAAATTGATATGAAATACAACGAATCAGAACAAAAATTAATGGGGGATAAAAGAGCAAAAAAAACAGATTATTAGAAAAGAAGAATCTGGGTTAAAATCAAAGAGATTGGGAAAAAGGGGACACAGAAAATTGTAGAAGAAATTGAAGAATCCAAAGAGAAGAGAGACACATATAAATTAGGGGGGCGACTGGGATTCGGGACAAAAACGTTTGTGAAAGCGTACAATAATGTGAAACTTCGGAGAAACAAAGTAAGAAGAAGCAGAAGAAGAATCAGACCGTGAGTGAGGTAAAAGGTACGCGTTTTAAAAATAGTAAGAAATAGGTTTTTCTCTAGCGTTTGTTAAAAAAAAGAGAGAAAAATTAGATTAGGGTAGTGGAATATATATTATTTATAAAGAGAGCGGTATCTTTCAATAATTTTTATTAGAGACAGTATAACCTCACTTCCAAATAGGATTTTAACTCTTCATCTAACTAATTTTTATCCATTTTGATTTTTCATAAGCAAATTTAAATCTACTGTCAAAATTTAATTTGATAATATATTAATCTACAAAATTAAAAAATATTATATGACAAAAGAAATAATTACATGATTTAAAATACAGTGGTTAATTGTTCACAATTTAGAAGATTCATTTTTCTTAAATAATATTGATATTTAAAATAAACAAATTTTATCTTTTTAATATGAACTAAACTTTAAATGAAATTTGAAATAAACAACTTTCATCCAAAAAAAAAAAAAAAACTTTAAATGAAATTGTCCAAAAAAACATTATAAAAGTGCATGGTAAACCGTTACAACAAATTTTGTAAAACTTCATTAATCTATTTTGTATTTTACGTTACGAAAATTATTTTATTTTAGAATAGCTACTACTAGTATTCTAGTACACATACACGATATAGCTTTGACGAGGCCGGCGGCTCGTTGACTGGCATCGGCGTTAAATTAATCTTTTGGAATTGCCGTGAGGAGTGACGACGGCGGGGAAGAAGAAAAAATCAAACGGCGTGAAAACAAAGTGACAAGTGGACGACTACGTTTGAAGATTCTCACAAAGGGTTTTCTAGAAGTCAAATTAGTCAGCCATTCCCTAATTCAACTCTCATTTGGCAATTTCCAACCTGCTTAGTGCATCGGAGTTAGTAAAGAGTCAGTTATACTAGCTTTTTCTTTTCTTTTCTTTTTTATTTTGAGCATTAAAAGGGATGCATATGGCAAAATTACAACAAAAATGTAGCTGAACACCTATGTAGCTAGTAAGCTCCAAGCCTTTCCCAATTAAGATTGCCACAAGATCCCCATCAAAATTGTGTGTCATACTTTTTACTCCCTCCTGTTCTCAATAAGACATTTTGATTTGTACAAGGTGAAATTAACAAAAAAAAGTTTTAAAAATATTTTTTAAAAATCAAGAGAATATAACGAGTGTGAACATATATTTTTAAGATTTTTCTCGTTAAAAATAAATGTTAGGTGAAACTTATGACAAATCAAAATGTCTTATACTCCCTTCGTCCTATAATTATTATCCAGTTTGGGTTTTCATTTATAATTTAAATTGTATTAAATTGAAATCTTAAACTGGATAATAATTTCGGGATATAGGAAGTATTAAGAAACGAAGGGAGTATTACACAATTCAATTGTGCAGTAACAACAATTTCTTTCACACTTTTTTATTACTCATTATAGTTTGTATATAACGTATACCAAAAAAATGTAATAGAGCATTAGAGCCATCAAAGAGAATGCCATCCATCAAGATTTTTTCACCGCTAGATCCAAACTTTAGTTTGTGCTTAATATTGAAATGAAGATGCTTCTTAGTAGAGTACTAATATGGTGTTCCATATGTTGTACTTTTTCTGTCACAAAAAAAAAAATCCACATTAGATTTTAATATTTGTACTATTTTTTGTATGAATTAAAAATTGAATATGAATTATTTCTCTTTTTTGTCAAAGTTAATAATATTACTTTTCTGAAATGAAGGACTCTAATGACTGCAACTTGTTTTGTTTTGGGATGAAGAAGTACTTTCTAATGATTTCGCAACAGCCACCAGGTGAATGCCACCCCCAGGATCGATGTTTACTGCTCCTACCCTGAAGGCCCAAGATTTTTGATCTGGTCAGCAGAATTCAGAACCATCCACTTGCTACGAAGATTAGAAGAAACCTAGTGCACAAGATGTAAAATGAATCTGATTTTCTTAAAAACTGGGCCAAAGACCCAACCATGCGTGGGTTACAGTATATACAGTACAACGAAATATTCATAGGTTTTTTTTGGAAAAGGAAATATTCATAGGTATGTATAGGAAGAAGTAAGTCCATTCAAATTCTGATACTCTCTCCGTTCTGAAATTATTGTCCAGTTTAGATTTTCAGTTTTAGTTCATACCACCTCCATCCCATAATTATTGTCCAGTTTAAGTTTTCATTTTTAGTTCAAATTATACTAAAAGTGAAATGTAAAACTGGACAATAATTTTGGAACAGAGGGAGTATTATGCTAAACGTGAAAATCTAAACTTGAAAATCATTTTGGGACGGTAGGAGTATAATATTCTAGAAACATTGTTCATATTCCTAAAGCTTTGTATCGCATAAATTGATTTATTGATTTTTATTTTTCTTTGATAAAATCTTCATCATAGTCAAAATTAGTACTCTTCCTATCTTTAAAAACAATTCACATTAAATTTATAAATTTTTATTGGACTTTTTTTTTTTTTTTGGAGGGAGGAGTACAAAAATATGGTACCTTGGCAAACAGCCTATGTTTACCGGAGTCACGTGTTTAATTGCACATCCAGTGTTTATTAAACAAAACCCAATGGGCTGGAAATGATACCCATTACTTGCCATTAGTCCTAAGCGTGTGCTCCATTCTTGGGCTAACTAACCATTTAATTGGGAGATTTTTTACAAGTAACTCTCGCTCAAATGTATGCCTTGGAATTCCTCCTTCATGCTTGAATGACGAGCCTCGTTCCCTTCCGTCAATGTCCGTCCGGCTTAACCAAATTATCTGCCTGGCCAGTCCGTTTAATTCGAGTATTTGACATAGCATACTAGTGGCAAACTGAAAAATAAAACCATATCGCCATGTATGGCCAGCCATCTTTTTATTTTTTTTTATATACCATTATAAATACTAGACGATTACATTTGTAGGGTCTATTGAAAAAAGAGATGTTACGCGTCCTGGATTACAAGCTTGACTTTCGGGACCATCTCTGACCTCTTGGCTACAAACATACATAAGCAGCACTTAAAGTGCTCATGATGAAACTCGAACCTGGGACCTCCTATGTTGAGTGACTTATTCTTAACCATTGGGAGAAGTCATCGTTCCTGTATGGCTAGCCATCTAAATTAAAAAAAAATTACTAAAAAGAAAAATATATACCATTCATCAAACATTTTAATTTAACATTTAAAATTTATCTTAAAATTCATCTTAAAATTCATTTCATATTATTTTCAACCAACATTATCAAGTTACTTTCTTGTCATCGCCGAATCACGCCAGCCGGTGATGGTATGGCTGCAGCAGGACGATCCTGCAGTAACAGAGTTGGTATGATGATGATGATTTTATTTCAAAAACTATCTATATAACTTTTTAAATTTTCACTCAAAAGTATTTTTAAATTATATTTCAAACCCAAACGAAAAAAAAAAGAAGAAAAAACTGATATAAAATATTGTTCAAGCCCGCACTGCGCCAAAATTCCCTCCCATTACATTTCCCGTCGAAGGTTCAACTATCTATTTATCCATCCTAGTGGAGCGACATCTCAAACCGATCTCATGGATGATTGAATGAATGCTTTGATTCATGACATTTATAACGATTTCGCAGATGTTATTTCTATTTTTTTTCCCATCAATGGCTACAAAATCGTCCTTTTCCCTCTACAAAGAAATAGCGGAACCAATCTTAATTTTGAAACGTTAGATTTCCCTTTTTAGTCAATTTTTATGGTTCATTTCCCTCCATAGTTTATCCAAATATACAAAGTAAAATCAAACCAAACTACTAACGCCAATGCACAAATCATTCATCAAATCATCCATTCATCAGTCTTATTACGCGTTTGTCGGTTACATAGTAAAACTTTTATGAACAAAGGGCAAAGTTTCAGGTGGATAAAAATTGCTCCGTTTGGATAAATACTCCCTCATGTCCTTAATATAAGTCATTTTGATTTTTATTAAGTTTCATCTAGTACATATTTTTAATTGAAACAAAAACTTCAATAATATTTTCTAATAATTAAGAGATTACGACTAATGTAAAATTATATTTTTAATATTTTATTTTTAATCAAAAATACATAATATGTGAAATTTAACATAAATCAAAATAAATTATATTAAAGACGAGAGGAGTATAATTAAAGAAAGAACACTACCCCTTTTTGTGAGGAAAGTATCAATTTCCTTAAAGAATGGCCTGAATACCTGCCACTCCACTGCTGTGCGGTTAAACAAGCAAAAAAGCCTTTTCAAAAAAGAAAAAAAAAGCAAAAAAGCGAAAACGAGCAGAAATTTTGCAGATCAAAATGCGATGAAGCAGAAAATTTACAGCAACATGATGCCAAACACGTGAGGTTGAAATAATGTTTTCTTCTTCGTAAGTGGAGGTATCTTTCTGGCCACAAGGACTAGACACTTAGTGATTTGAAGAATTCGAAAAAGATAGCCATAGAATTTCATGTATTTTGCATCGACGAACAGTCGAAATCATATCACATCTTCTCTGATGGTTCTACCCATAAGAAGAAATGATCCAAAAAAAAATGAACCACTGTTAGTGGATTTCTGCATCCTAGAATCTCTAAAATTACTGTCCACATGAAAATGCAATACCTAAAAAGTACATCAACAATTGGAAGCACCGGATTAATCGAGACAGTGATTTTGAACATTTAAGTGTTACGTACCGGAAAGGAAAATAAAAAAGCACACCAACAAAAATTTAAAATTTGCCACGCAATATTGACATGGTTCTGAGTATCACCATTTCAAATTTTGTTACAAATTTGGCAGGAATCAACATCAGATCTTTTGTGCCTTTTCCATCATTCCATGAACCCTCTGACTAGGAACTGCATCAGCAGCAAAAGCATCCGCCCCCACAAATTCTCTCCTAAAGTTAAACCCCTTCCCATCCCTGAAAACATATCAGAACGGTTTAAATTATTAAAAGGATGCAAAGCAACAGAATATTCTTCACGATAATCAAACCTAAAAAATCTCTTCTGCTGTTCCCCCATTGAGTATCCAATATATATAATTATGAATGGGGGGAGAAA